GAACTTGAACTCGGGCAAAAGGCACTTGATGGGAGATGTACACAGGCATGGCGTTAACTAGTGACTGAAAGAAACCAAATCTAAAGTGTAGAGGGCCCCTTGGGAATGCACATGGATGACCTTTAAATTAATGTCAGCTGAGTCTGAGGAGACTGGCATGGCCGTCCCCCGGAAACAGCCTCCCAAAATGTGGGACACAGTTATCAGTACTGATTTCTTATCTTTATCCATGTGTTTGGAATGAGGAACGAATAGGACCTTGACTTACCCAGGTCTCGATATGCTAAATCCCAGGAATGTGGGAATGAATAGGACCTTAAACCGCCCTCTGGAAATCAATAAATGCGCTGTGTGGTCTGTGGTGGGTGTTGACTGTCCCTCCATCAGAGTGACAGCATCCACCCGGCACCCAGCTTTTGGATCTATGTCTGCCTCTTGTCTCTTTCTTTCTTTTATTTCTTAGTCCCCAGCTCCTCCACTCAGGAACCGGTCCTTCTCCCTTTCCGTGCAGCACGCGGAAAAAGGAGAAGCACCCACCGCACCAAAAACCATGTACCAATGCTCTGTCTTCTGGCTGTGGGGTGCTTCCCAATTATCCTTAAAAAATAACCTTTTAGCCGAAGCCGGTTTGGCTCAGTGGTAGAGCGTCGGTCTGAGGACTGAAAGGTCCCAGGTTCGTTTCCGGTCAAGGGCATGTACCTTGGCTGCGGGCACATCCCCGGTAGGGGGTGTGCAAGAGGCAGCTGGTCGATGTTTCTCTCTCATCGACGTTTCTAGCTCTCTATCTCTCTCTCCCTTTCTCTCTGTTAAAAGTCAATAAAATATATATTTAAAATAAATAAACAAAAAATAACCTCTTATGATCTGGAGAGTAAGATGCTCAGTGAAAAATTATACTGACCCAAGTTTCAACTCATTAAGATGCACTCTTTCCACTTAAAAACACACAGCATTCATTCAACCACTTACATGGTAGAGCAAAGCACTGGAATCTTGCTGGAGGCCTATGTCCTGGCCTCAATAATCCACACGCCCAACCCTCCGGAGTATTCAGCTTTTCTGCCATCTTGGTAAGAAAGAACAGATGATGCCCGGGCAGCGTGGCTTAGTGGTGAGCATCAACCTGGGAACCAGGAGGTCAATAGTTCCGATTCCTGGTCAGGGCACACGCCTGGGTTGTGGGTGTGGTACCCTGTGGGGGGGGCTTGCAGGTGGCAGCCAGTGAATGCTTCATCCTCCTCAATGATGTTTCTCTCACTCTCTCCCCCTTTCCCTTCCTCTCTGAAATAAAAAATACTTTTTAAAAAAGAACAACAAATAGCCAAAACCGGTTTGGCTCAGTGGTAGAGCATCGGTCTGCGGACTGAAAGGTCCCAGGTTCGATTCCGGTCAAAGGCATGTATATTGGTTGTGGGCACATCCCCGGTGGGGGTGTGTGCAAGAGACAACTGGTCGATGTTTCTCTCTCATGGACGTTTCTAGCTCCCTATCTCTCTCCCTTCCTCCTCTCTGTAAAATATCAATAAAATATATTTAAAAAAAAAAAAAGAACAAATAAATATCGCACAAGACACTCCAGGACACCAGACAAGGTGGAGGGAGGCTGGCTGTTGGGAGCTGGCAGTCGTCAGTGCCCACAAAAAGCAGGGGAAGACTCCCACACCTGACCTTTAGGCTCATTAAAGCCTCATTCGAATTTCCTGTCACTCCACCCATTTATCTTAAGTGAGATAAATCAGTAATCTCTCTGGCCACATAATTAGATCTTTTTTTTTTTAAAAGAACTTTGAAAACCAAGAGGTAGTCAGCTGAGTTTTCCAAAACATGGCACTTCTTTCGTTAGTCAAAATAAAAGAAGAGAAACTCTGTACTTCCCTAGGCCAACTGCGTGAGTGCAGCTTAGGCTGGACTTAACTACCTATTGACAATGACAGGGCCAAGGCAGACTTTTCACAAAATAAGGTTTAAAACTGTCCGTTCAGCATTTCTTCTCTGTAAACACAAGAGAGACGGTCATTTGCTTTTTACTCGCAATGTCCCAAAACTGAAAAAAAAAAAAAAAAAATCAAATTCTAAATTTTTTTTACATTGGGTCAAAATTATCAGTTTACAGGGGTAGTTGACACTAATAAAGTGTAAAACTAAGTAACCAACTTATTCAATGTTTCTAAAAGCAAAACGACTTCTTAAAAAAGACAAAAGGCTACCAATAGAGTCAAAGGGTTCTGCCCAGGGAAAATACATTTTAATAGTCTAGGGACTGAATAAATGTATTTTAAATGGTTAGGACCTAACCAACTGAACACCCAACATCATAATTCTGTTCCTATATCACCTTCTAATTTCTTATTACTTTAACTCTTCCCAAATCTTTTTTTTTTTTTTTCCTTTATTTCTTTCTTAAGCCTCACTTAAGGGCATTTTTTCCCACTGATTTCTAGAGAGAACTGAAGGGAGGGAGAGAGAGATAAACACGAATGTGAGAGAGACACATCCCTTCTGAGCCCCGACCAGGGAATCAAGCCTGCAACCAAGGTTTCTGCCCTTGACCAGAATTGAACCCACAACCCTTCAGACTGCGGGCTGATGCGCTAACCACTGAGCAACCGGCAAGGGCATTCCCAAATCTTTTGGAAATGTGGCAAATACTAGCAGATGATGGCTATCACAGAAAAATATGAAAGAAGGAAATATGTTTTTTTTCCTTGCTGTCTTAATGCAATGAATGTACTATAACCACCTTTTTCTATAGATTTTGTGCCCTCTGCTACTTTCAGAATAGAAGCCTAAACAAAACAACAAGATAACTTATTTCCCTGCCCATAAATTCAATAGAAATAGACAGTCTACATTATCAAAACACCTGGTAATTTATTCCTATTCAACATGTAAGATAATTTACAATTTTCAACCATTTCTTTGTTGAGAGGGGAAAAAAAATCATCTCTTCCTTGGAGCCTGGATTGCAAACCAGGTGTGCCTCCTTTAGCTGGCAGGCAGGCCAAATGATAACAAGAGAATGGACCTGGTTGGGGAATTTTTGACTATTACCAAAAATAAACAGCTGAGGTTAGGGGGGGAAAAATTCCAGCCTCACTGTTTACTCCTCGAAGTTCTTGGAATTCCTCCGCACAGATCGTTACTTGGCCAATAACCTATGTTGCTAATAACCTCAGCTGTATGAATGTTCCATCTGGATGGAGTTGGCTTTCGTTAGCTCCTTCAATCAACGACTCTGAGAATATGTAACCCTCAACCACTTCATTCAGTTTGGTTAGACAATAGAGAAGTGTCTGCTTTCGGGAAGAACATACAATGGCAAATATAAAACGAACTGAAGCATCTACCAAAGCCTCAGACTGTGAGAAGACACCAGATAATCATACAGAATGGGCAGCTCAGTTGACAGGTAACTGAATACGATGGCTTTTTTTCAAGGCGAAGAATTAAACTCAGCCTAGATCTAGGGCAAAGGGAAGATGTTACCTTCGGAAATATTGGTGTCGGGTTCCTCCCCGATACTATGACGAGCTGCATGGGCCCAGGACAAAGATCACAGTGGTACAGTCTTCTGTTTCAGCCCCTCTCGGGGTGCTGGGGGTGGGGGACCGAAGCGAGAGGCTGGCAGTGATACTATCATTGGGTTTGTCCTCAGGACGCCTGGAATGTGGTGAGCCGAGCCTGTGCTTCACAAATATCTGAGTTGTTTAAAGAATTGCTCCAAAGAATGCCTTCACATGTGGGAAATGGACATAGTCCAAACTCAACGCTCAGGAAGCCAATTAACTAGAATCAGAAGTCCCAGACAACGTGTTCTGTGTTCTCCCATTCATTACAATGGTGTGTGTAGATAGATAGGTAGATAGGTAGGTAGGTAGGTAGGAAGGAAGGAAGGAAGGAAGGAAGGAAGGAAGGAAGGAAGGGTGCTGGAAAACATTTCCCAGAGGAGAAAAAAATTATTGGCAATATTGTATCTCTTCTCTCTTACAAAGTACTTCCAAAAAAAAAAAACCACCTTAAGACATCTGTAAAGCGCCAAATTGCCAGGAAATACCCGAGGAAAGTCCCCTGAGAGGTCTCAGTAAGCTGCGGTTCCTGCCCATGAGTGTGGTGAGTGAAACTGTGATCCCAGGAGTTAGTCATGCAGGACAGGCTGAAAGTTTTGTCTTCACTAATTCATCATTAATATCAGTATCATTGTCTTCATTAATCCAAGCCCGATTACAAAACATTCTTCTCTGGAATTTCTTAGGAAAAGTGAACTATACTTTCTACTTTATGACTCCCCTCTCTAAATTTAAACAACAAAAAAATGGCAATAGACATGTCAAACTCAAGAGCATCTCAAAGCCTCTGGATGCATCTAATAAGCATTAAAGCCCAGGCTCAGCAAGAGACTAACATCAGACACCACATTCTATTCAACAACCTGACATTTCCTCCCCGAGAAGGCGGGCTAACTTGGGAAGAGGGGAATAATGGAGATCCACATGTTTTGACTAGAACCCACTTGGGAAGTCTGAATCTTTCTTGTATGAGAGCTTGAGACTGGGGACCGTATGTCATAGGTGCCCCTGTACTTACTGCCTTTTGCTTGTCCCCACACCCCCTTGTATTATTATTATTTTTCTAAATATATTTTATTGATTTTTTACAGAGAGGAAGAGAGAGGGATAGAGTGTAAGAAACATCGATGAGAGAGAATCATTGATCAGCTGCCTCCTGCACACCCCATACTGGGGATGTGCCCGAAACCAAGGTACATGCCCTTGACCGGAATCGAACCCGGGACCTTTCAGTCTGCAGGCCGATACCCTATCCATTGAGCCAAACCGGTTTCGGCCCCCTTGTATTATTTACCTTGAGAAGCTTTCCTGGGGGGGCCTGTGAGGTTAAGCATCTTACAAATGGGAAACAAAAATCTTCTTAAAAAAGTGCATCTCAAAACACAGCACAGAAGACCCCCCCCTCCCCCGCCCCCCATCCCTCTCTCCACTCACCTGGGAAAGCGTGTGGATTGGGCGACCCTCTCTTAAGGCACTTAGAACAGAGGATGTGCACGGTGTAGTGCAGTCCAGGCCATTCCTGAAGCAGGACGTTCAGTTCTTCCACCAAGGGGGTGATGGCTTGCCATGCCGTCCATATGTTCGGCAACGAGGCGTGGCTGGCGATGGACAGGGTATCTGGCTGCAGGGCCCCCTTGGCCGGTCTGTAGCTCACCACCACAGGGACCTTCCCTCGGTAGGCGAAGATCTGAAGCTTCCCGTCCGACCTCTGCACCACGTGGCTGTTGATCTGGACACTGTAGCGTGCAAACAGCCCCGGCGGGAAGGTGAAGGGGAAACTGTACTCAATCTGCAACTGCTCGGCCACAAAGGACTGCCCGGCCAGGTTGGTCCCGTTAATCCAGGCCTCGGCGTGGGGCACCTCGTTCTGCACGTAGCAGGGGAACTTGTACCAGGCGGTGGAGCCGTTCAGGGGCTTGCCCTTGGGTTTGTTGAGGCAGTAGCAGAGCCCCATCTTCTCCAGCAGCTCCAGCAGCAGCTGCAGGTCCTGCTGGGCCTGGACGTGAGGCTTCAGCAGCAGCCGAATGGCGTGGGCCGGCAGGAGCCCGTGAAGCAGGAAGCCCTCCACGTAATGGTGGAGCTGGGTGGCCCGGAGCAGGTCCTGGCTCAGCTGCGGCGGCGGCGGCGGTGGCACGGCCATCACCAGGGAGCTCTCCCCGTCTCCCTCGCCCTCTCCGCTGGTCCCGGCGAGCAGCTTGTGCAGCAGCAGGGAAGGATCCCTCTGGAAGAAGACGTTGAGGATGTCGATGAGGCGGCTGAGGTTGTGGAAGACGTGCTCCTTGAGGGCCGGGCTGTCCTCGAAGTAGAGCAGCTTGCCGCTCTCGTGCAGGTAGGACAGGGCGCTCTGCAGCCGGTCCTCCGTCAGGCCAGCCTGCAGGCCCAGGCGCGCCGAGTCCCACCAGCTCAGCCAAAGCCGCTGCGCCTGCGGGGGCTGGAAATGCAGCTCCTCCAGCACCTGCCAGGACCGAGGCAGCACTCGGTGCAGGTTGGGGAAGATCTCCCGGTGCTCGGCGACCGACAGCAGCTTGTCCCGGAGGCGCTGCAGCTGGCGGGGGTCCCTGCAGCTCACGGGCAGCACCGGGGAGAGGATCTGCAGCCGGTGGTTGAGCAGGTACTGGAAGTGCGCCTTGCGCCGCCGGAGGTTCTTGTCCGAGACGCCGTAGTAAGCCGCGTGCGGGCTGGCGGAGCGCAGCTCGAAGTCGCGGGCCAGCGCCTCGTCCACCACCCGGGCCAGGCGGCTCAGGCCCTCGGCGTCGCGCTTCTCCTGCAGGGCGATCTGGCGGTGGATGTCCAGGCACTTCTCCTCCAGCTCCCTCTCCGCGCACAGGTCCGCGTGCGTGCCCACGATGCACACCACGGCGTGCGGCACGCGGGCCCCCACGCGGTGCAGGAAGGAGCCCACGGTGGTGGGAAACCGCGGGGGCTCGTAGGTGGCCAGGTTCACCACCAGCATGTACAGGGCCCCCGGGGAGAGGAAGAAGGGCTGGATCACCTCGTAACTCTCGTCCCCGGCCAGGTCGTACACAATGAACCGCAGGCCCCGGGAGGCGTCGGCCGTCCAGCTGGTCACCTCGATGCCCTTGCTCGCGGGAGGTGGCGGCGGCGGCGGCGGCGGTGGAGGCGGCGAGTAGCCCTTCTCCTGGTCGCCTCCTTCGCCGGAAGCCTCCACCCGGTCCTCCGTGAGGCAGTGGCGGAGCAAGGTCTTCCCCGCAGCCTTGTGGCCCATGAGGAGCAGCTTGAGGCGCGGCTGCACGGCCGGCTGGGAGTGGGCCAGCTCCTTCTGGTAGGCCGCGATGTAGGGGATCCCCTTCATGCAGACCTCGTAGGGCGGCTGGATCAGTGGGTTGTCCTTGATCTTCCACAGGCCCACGCGGGAGAGCTGGCCGAAGTTGTCGGGCAGCACGGCGATCTGGTTGCCCTGCAGCACCAGCTCCTCCAGGCCCGTCAGCTCCACGATGGCGTCCGGCAGGTAGCGGATCCGGTTGTTGTCCAGCCACAGGGTGAGGAGCCGGCCCAGGCCCGAGATGAGGGAGGGCACCGAGGTGAGCTGGTTGCGGCTCAGGTAGAGCTCTTCCAGGCCGGCCAGGGGCAGCAGCGCGGCGGGGAACTCCTCGAAGAGGTTGGAGGACAGGTTGAGCATTTTGAGCCTCTGCAGGCGGCTGAACTGGGCGGGCAGGGCCTGCAGCCTGTTGTTGTCCAGCATGAGGCTCTCCAGGCTGGCCAGCTCACAGAAGCCCTCGGGCAGCGTGCCAAGCTCGGCCCCGCTCAGCCAGAGGATCTTGAGGGCACGCAGGGCACTGATACCCTCCGGGAGGCCTCGGAGCCGGTTGCTGGACACGTCCAGCTCCTCCAGGGCAGCCAACTGCAGCAGCTGGCCCGGGAACGCAGTGAGCTGGTTGTGGTCCACGTCCAGGGTGCGCAGGCGGCAGAGGCAGGACAGGGAGTCGGGCAGGTGCGCCAGGCGGTTGAAGCTGACGTCCAGCTCCTCCAGGTGGGCCAGCGCGCCCAGCTGGGCGGGCAGGGCGGGCAGCTGGTTGTGGCTGAGGTTCAGCTTGCGCAGCTCGCGCAGGGCGCTCAGCACCTCGGCGCCCAGGGCCGCCAGCCGGTTGTGGCTCACGTCCAGCTCGGTGAGGTGGTGGCCCAGCTCGGCCACCGCCGGGGGCAGCCTGGCAAAGCGGTTCCTCCGCAGGACCAGGACGCGCAGGCTGCCCAGCGCCGAGCCCAGCCCCTCGGGCACCTCCTCCAGGCCGTTGTTCCCCAGGTTCAGCACCTCAACGTCCCCGAGGTTGGCCGGCAGCACGAGCTGCGGGGGGGAGCTGTCGGGGGAGTCGTCGATCGGATCGGCCCCGACCCCCGGGCAGCTAAGGGTGAGCTGGCGCAGGTTGCTCCGCAGCTTCCTGGCGCGCAGGGCGGCGTCCCGCCACAGCCGCACCGTCTTCAGGTTCCCGCCGTCCTTCCCGGCCATGGCGGGGCCCCGGGCCCACAGACAGCCTCGCTCACAGCTCCATGCCGGGCGGGCGCCGGGCTCCGGGTCCCTCTGGCTCCTCTCTCCCCACCAGCCCTCCGCGATTGGCGGCGGCGGCGGATCCTAGCGCAGCAGCCGGTGGCCGGGCGCCCGCGGCTGGGGGGCGGCGGCGGCGGCGACGCGAGCAGCTACGGGGGTCGCCGAGCCGGCGGGGCGGGGGGCGGCGGCGGCCGGCGGGGAGTGCGGCTCGCATGCTCCTACCTCCGGGGCCATGGGCGCGCCCGCCGGGAGGATGCCCGCGGCTCCGCCTCCGCTCCGCCCGCCGCGCGCTCTGCACCCTCCGCCGCGCCCGCCGCTCCGGCTCCGCTACCGGCGCAGCCGCGGCCCCGCGGCCCGCAGCGCCGGCGCCTCCGCGAGCTCCGGGAGGAGGGCGGCGCCTGGCGCGGCGGCGGGCATGGTGCGCGCACAGGCCGGGGTGCAGCCGGGAGGAGGGGGCGGCGGCGGTCCCTGCTTTCCCGGGGCCCGGGCGCTGGGAGGGCGCGATCGGGAAGCGGCAGGCAGCGCCGCCCGGCGGCCCGGCCCCCACGTGACCGGGGCGGCGCCGCGGGTTCCCGGCACCGCCCCGGGGGCGGGCGTCCCGCGCGGGGACCGGGCGCCTGGCCCGGTGCGGGCGGCTGGGCGGGGACGTGCGTGCGGGGAGCGGGTCCTGGCTGCGCGCCCGAGGCCCCGGGCCCTCGTGTTTGCATTAGGTGCGCTCAGGCTCTTTGTTGCCCCCGAGCCTCCAGGGACTTCTTTCCCCTCCGGGCGCTGTCTCCCTTTCCTCATTCTTGACCGGGGGGGGCCCCCCCTCCCTTCCACTCACCCTGCATCCATCCACAGGGTCCTGGAACCGGCAGGATTCAGGGGCCTGGGTTTCATGGTGGCACCTAATCACTACACAAAAGGAGACATGCAAACAGCCATTCACTCATCTGATATGTATGTATTGAGGCCCTATGTTGTGCCAGACCAGCTGAGACAGGTTCTCAGAACACCTTTGAGCAGGCTCTCCGCAGGCCTGATTGGGGGTTGGGCTGCGGGGTGGGGGACAGTGTGCTTGGTAAAGCACAGTGTTTTATCTGGGGGAGAAGGGGGGACCCCATTTATCATTATTGCAACCTGGGAGGTAAGTACCATCAAACTTAACAGCCCAATGCTCCACTCCTAAGGTTGATATTTTCCTTTTTGAGGAAGTTTCCTTGTCACATCGATGCTAAGTAAATAATTCCTTCAGAATTGGCCAGAATCTTAAGACTTACTGAGTCTCTGGGTATCGCCTCCCTCACTGCCTCCAGTTTAGTTCATAATGAAGCAAATTCTTTTCGAAGACGCAAAACTGAATTAATTGGTTAAATCCACCTCTTAACACTTGTGACTGCCCCCCACGCATGGCAATGCTGTTTTGGGGGGACCCATATCCAGGTGAGAGGGCAGGGGTCTGGTGGGCAGGGCAGGGGTCCGGTGGGAAACAAAGGCAGGTGGAACAGGGGCGGGGGCAGACAGGGCAGTTTGAGCAAGCCTAAGCACAGAAACCAACCATGCAGGAATCTCAGACTGTTTTTAGACTCAGAGCCAAAGGCATGTGAAACTAGGGAGGGACAGCAACAAGGAGGTAAACTGACGCATAGAAACAGGGAAATTTCAGGCCCTTCCCAGGCAAGAACCACTGAGGGAATCTATCAAGTGGTGACACAGGCTTGTAGCACATATATACACGGGTGCAGGCAGTCTGAATCCGCTTGCAATAAGTTTCCCATGCATCTGCTTAAATCTTCCGAGATCTCATTCTTCAGGGGGACATGGCAGGGGGACAACTCAGCTTGCCATTCCAGTTATCACTGGCAGTTATTGCAGTTATTTTAGTAGTTATAGTTTGTCTCTTCAAAAAGAGCTGGAAATTCGCCCCAGGGATGGTTATCAAGCCTGGCTCGATGATCAGATGTCCCGCTTTTGGCAGGACAGTCCCGATTTTTAACAATTTGTCCCGAGTCCCACGGCGTTTTAAAAGTCCCGATTCATTTCTAAAACGCAGGACAAATGATTTAAAATCGGGACTGTTCTGCCAAAAGCGGGACATCTGGTCACCTTATCCTAGGACAATGGTTGGCAAACTGCAGCTCGAGAGCCACATGCGACTCTTTGGCCCCTTGAGTGTGGCCCTTCCACAAAATACCACGTGTGGACGCGCATGTACAGTGCGATTGAAACTTGGTGGCCCACGTGCAGAAGTCGGTTTTCGGCTCTCAAAAGAAATTTCGATCGTTGTACTGTTCCTATTTGGCTCTGTGGGCTAATGAGTTTGCTGACCACTGTCCTAGGATGTGCCCTCAGACAGGTGGGTCTCAACTATGGGTATATTACCAGGGATAGCTGAGCGGTGTGTACCTGAAGGATTTCCTAGAAGATCGGATTGCTGGAATATTCCTTGGCCTCCCACCACAAGAAATATTTTAAATTATCTAGACTGACCTTTTTTTTTTCTTTTTTTTTTCCACATAGAAGAATACATGAAGCAACTTCCCAGCCAGGTAAAGGGTAGAGTCAGGTGTGTCAACATCCCTTATGCAGTGATTCCCCTGAAGGCGTTACCTTTGTGGTCAGACCCCAACTCTCCATCTTTGGCTCCTCCTAACTCCAATCTGAACCTCAGCCTGCAGCAGGAGCTGGAGAAGGCATCGGCTTCCTACCTTCAGTGGCTGAATTGAAGTCCTAGAGTGGTTTGGATTCGATCTAAGTAGCCTGTGCTAAGCTGGTCCCCTTTGGAAGCCATCAGAAAATTACACTTCCATTTTAAACGTCTCTGAAAATTGTGCTGTTGCTCTGCCAGGAGATAATGTGCCATTTGCTTTATCTAATGAAGAGAGCTCACGAAGACCAGACAACGCCCTGTTTGGGGCCACTCCTAGCCCTCCCAGCCCCCAAGCCTGGTGTGCATGCATTTGCTCAGCAGCAATATTCTTTTTTTTTTTTTTTTTTTTAATATATTTTGTTGATTTTCCACAGAGAGGAAAGGAGAGGGATAGAGAGCTAGAAACGTTGATGAGAGAGAAACATCGATCAGCTGCCTCCTGCACACCCCCTACCGGGGATGTGCCTGCAACCAAGGTACATGCCCTTGACCAGAATCGAACCTGGGATCTTTCAGTTCGCAGGCCAACACTCTATCCACTGAGCCAAACCGGTTTCGGCAGCAGCAATATTGTTTTTGAGCCCCTTGGCCTGCTGTGTGCTGTTGCTGCCAATGTTTTGGGAAGCCTTGCTGTATAAAGTATTGTCCGAGAGTTCATTCTTTGAAAATTAGATCAGGAGAATACCGTGTGTCCAGTGTGGCTCTTAAACCCGGACCAGAAGGATCCTGCGCTGGGCTCCCAGCCTGGTCCTCCTCCTGCCACATCCCACTCCTTGTGGTAAAATTTCTGATGGGCTGAGGGGCAGGACGGGCGAGCCCCTGAAGCCTTCTAGAACGTGCTTGGCATGAAGGACACTGAAATCCCTGTGCAAACAGCCTCCAGCCGGCTTGCAGGAGGCGGGGCAGTCTTTCAGAGCCATTCCGGAGTTTAGTGGCCATTAGAGGCCTCTGGAGTGTGGGTGGAGTTGACTGTCCCTCTGTGTCCACAGGCTCCTCATTGTGCTGGATGGAGCCCAGGTTAGGATGAGAGGGGGCATGGGTAAACCACATTTGCTAGCCTTATAAAGCACAATTAAACATTTAAACATATGGTATATGGGCCTTCATTTGTAGTCCTGCCCCAGGCCCGTGGCCCTGGACCAGTAAGGATCTTCCTAAAAGCATAAAATGATCATCTCAGTTTGGAGTAGAGGGATTCTGATTATTTGATGTTTTCTTGCCTTGGATATCTATCCAATGCCATGGTCCTAATCTATAAACTTTCCCAAACCTTTTCAATAGATTTTTATTTACTTCAGAGAGAAAGGAAGAGGGAGAGAGAGACGGAAATATCAATGATGAGAATCATTGATCGGCTGCCTCTTTCACACCCCCTACTGAGGACCAAGGCCATCATCCAGGTATGACCAGGAATCGGTTCCTGGTTCATAGGTCTATGCTCAACCACTGAGCAGTCATGCCAGCCAGGCTCCCAAATCTTTTCATTTCTCCTGTTTTTCTTACTCTGAGGCTGTTTTCATTTTAGTCACTGCCCTATGATAGCAATTATATCCCATGCACATTGGCTTCCTCCCAGAGTGCAGACGCGCTGTTAGAGCACAAGTCTTTTTTGTGAAATGCATTGTGGGCATTAGTTTTTCATAGCAGTGTGGATGGTCCCAGGCAGCTCCAAGGAAGCTTTCATCCCTCACTTACTTTGTTCTGCCTTCAACATACTTGACTTTCTTCCATCTTGACAGATTTTTTTCTTGACCTTGCTAATCTCCTCGCTACTGTCTCATTGCCTTATTTCCTTTCTCTGTCAAATATCTTACATAAGCGGTCTGGGACCAGTCTGGTTGTCTCCACTGTCCCCTGCTTGGACCCAGTCATCTGGCTTCTATCCCCAGTAGCCAGCACATTGCTCTCTAGAAGGTTCACTCAACGCTTCCTCCTTCCTCGACCTCCCACCATTGAAAATGTTAAGTAACTTCTTCACCTCCTTGATTTTAACCATTTTTTGTTTTTGTTTTGATTTTGTTAGATGAAAGTGTAGGCAATCCAGGGAAAGACAGAAAGAGGAGGAGAAAGGCTCGTCCCTCTAAAAGGTGTTAGGCCTGTTCCAAAGAAGAGGATTAGAAATAAAAACAAAGGCAAATTTGGCCAAAACCGGTGTGGCTCAGTGGATAGAGCATCGGTCTGCAGACTGAAGGGTTCCAGGTTCAATTCCGGTCAAGGGCATGCACCTTGGTTGCGGGCACATCCCCAGTGTGGGGTGTGCAGGAGGCAGCTGGTGGATGTTTCTCATTGATGTTTCTAGCTCTCTATCCCTCTCCCTTCCTCTCTATAAAAAATCAATAAAATATATTTAAAAAATAAAAAAAAATAAAGCCAAATTTGACACAAGGCAGTTTAACCACAGGGATCTTCAAGGTCATGTCCTCAAAGCTCTTGATGTTGGGCTGAGCTGTCTAAGAATAATCCCCAGCAATGGCAGCTAACATGCATGAAGGTTCCCCGTGCACTCAGGCTCTGTGCTGTAAGCCTACGGTGCAGTGTTCCATTGACCTGCACAACAGCCTTCCATAGCAGGCCCTATTATTGTCCATTTTACAAACGGAGACAGAGCTACCGAGTGGCAGAAGCCAGACTCACAACAAGGCAGAGTCCAAACCTCCTGTGTTAATCACTGTGCTGTTTCTTGGGGGTGCAGTGGGGTTAGGGGGTGTGGGGGGTGAAGAGGAATGGGTCTAAGTTTGCCAGCCAACGGAGTATTGTAAGCTGTAGAGAAGTGCTACCAGCTGAAAGCAGGGAAGACACCCTTCCACTGTTAAAGTGAGCACTGCTCTTCTATATGAAGAATACTGGGCCACCCAAAGATTTAAATAGCCCCAAGCACAAGAACTAGGTTTAACATCTGTTATTAAAACAGAATCTCTCTGCCATTTGTTGGTAAATTATTTGATTTGCTTCTTTGTTTGCTTATTCGAAGGAAAAAGGACAGAAGATAAGTGTCCATAAAAATCTATCCTTCAATTAGAAGGCAATTTAGATTTTGTCTTTTAAGAAGATAGAAGATAGAGAAGAAGAAGAGGAGGAGGAGGAGGAGGAGGAGGAGGAGGAGGAGGAGGAAGGGAAAAGGAGGAGGAGGAGGAAGAAGGGGAGGAGGAGGAAGAAAAGGAAGAGGAGGAAGAAAGAAAGCTTTCCTTATTCTTCTTTCTCCAAATTTAATAAATCTGCCTTGGACTCACCAATTTGAATGAGCTCCAGTTCGGAAAGCACCGACTAAGAAGTCTGAGAGTGGTCACTTAACTACCAACAGTGAGCCTAAAACACTTGTTCAATACACCGAGGCCCCCTGAGAGCAGAGACAACGCTGTGCCAGTGTCTGTTGTTCTTTCTTTCCCCTGCTCCACGGAAAACAGATTTATCTTGGACTGGGCAGCACCAGATTTAACATTGGCTCTCTTTGTGTTTCCAGGTCAAGTGGGAACACATATGCTCCCTACTGAGGAAAATAAACTGCAGTGTATTTTTAGCATCCGCTGCAAGTGCTCACAGCTGAAGCTACGCAGGATCCAGGCTATTCACTGAAGGGCCCAGGACTGGCCGCCATGCCACCTAGAATTCCAGAACGTGCCCTGGGGGTCTGTAAGTAACAGTGTCCCCTTGCCCCCCACCTTACCCTCGACCAGTTGCAACCCCAATCCTGTTGCAAACATTTTTTCTCCTGAGAAAGAGGGAGAAAACACTCCAGTGAAAGATCAATGAAAAACATCTGTGAAATAGTTACATGAGGCTAACTGTAGCACGCTTGGCACCCTGAGCCGAAGCAGGTTCAGGAGGGAAGGGGGAGCGCAGGGAGCAGAGACAATGCCCTCCCCGCCCCCCGGTTGGTGCCTCACGCTGGAGATAAGCCAGGCACAGGGAGCCACCGTATGTGTCTTCGAGAAAGAGGACAGGTGCCACCCTGGCACACCTGGCCACTGCGTGCCATGGTGAGCTCGCCCAGACGGTCTCACCCTCCATGGGTGGCATGTGCAATGTGTAAGGGGGCCGGAGTCTGAAATGGAAGGTTTGCTCCTGAGATTGGGTGACAGGGAGACATAGGGCTTAAGACCTTCCTTCTGCCTGTACAGTTTTGAAAAATATTTTCCATTTTTGAAAACCAACTTAGGCAACTGTGTCAGTGTAAAATCATTCAAACCGATAGTTTTTGCAAGTTTATTTGAGCCAAACTGACAATTGCCGGGAAGGAGAATACTCTACATCCTATGAAATTGCAAGATGGCTTGAAATAATAAGGGTTTATGGTGAGCTGTTATATAAGGATCATAACTTCATTATAAATTCATCTAATCTATAAAAATAAAAGTGTAAGATGCTAATTAGACTGGACAGCCAAATGACCTTCCAGACATCCTTCCCCATGACTTTCCAGATGAAACCGAGGCTGTGAGGGTCAAGGTAGAGGCAGCCGCAGTGGCTGTGAGGGCCAAGCCCCTTGTGTGAATTTCGTGCATTGGGCCTCTAGTGTAAGGTTTGAGGCGCAGGAAACTGACCACCAACACATGCTAAAGTAAAGTTTGTTCCCCAGTAATGAGCAGGACTCATTACAGAGGTAGAGAAATCAGAATTGAAGGAGTGGGGAGAGGAGAAAGGACCAGCCGGGCTGCCTCCATAGATGGCGATGGAGAGAATCAACACGTGGCTGGTCTGGGGAGTCTTTTTGAGGGGAGAAACAAAAAAGGGTTGGACCCAGGGTGGAGCAGGAAGGGATGGGCTCCAGGGCACTTCGGCACGCCCTGATTGGTGGATCAATGTCTTGGGGATGTCTCTGTAGCAGATGTCATAACTTCGCCCACCAGTTGGCGGAAGGGAGGATCTCACATCTACCGTGTTTCCCCGAAAATAAGACATCCTCCGAAAATAAGACCTAGCGCATGGAAAGATAAGACATCCTCTGAAAATAAGACCTAGCACAACTTTGGGAGAAAAAATTAATATAAAACACTGTATTATTTTCAGGGAAACAGGGTAGTATTTATGGAAGGCCTGTGCAGGGTGCCTGAATACGAGACGACTTGAGAAAGCTTCTATTTCTGTTCTCACCGTCAAGGTGTAAAAAATAAAGCATTCATCTGATATTAAGGCAGTCTTCAAAAGATATGGTCCTTTCCTAAGTTAAAAGATACTGTCTAGTTCCAAATTGTCAGATCCGAGGGGGAGGGAGTCCATTCTGTGGGACTCTTTCCCTCTCCCCACCTGGGAGTCTGTACTTGTTCTTCAATAAATCTCCACCTTCGTTATATATTAAAAAAAAAAAAAAAAAAAAAAAAAAAAAAATTGTCAGAGCCGGTTGAATGGAAGTCCTGATCAAGTCTCCAGCGACTCCTCAGCTTTGTTCCTTTGTTCCCTAACTACAGTGGCTCCTCAGGTGTAAGAACAATTTGAGGAAGCCCTTCCCTTCCTCTGTAAGGTAACATTGTTCCGAGGGTGTGGTTGTTCTTGAATACAATTACATTAACACTTACTTTACATTTTCAAAGCGAAGAATATTGTTTATATATTAGGAGTTTGGGTTTTGTTCTAACTGCAGAATATTAAATGTATTACTTTTCCCTTCCTTTTGGCTTTTAAAATACTTTTTTTTTTTTTTTTAAAGTTTAACATGATGTACAAATTAAGTGAAAATGTTTCCCAAAGTAAACTGGAAAAATTATAGGAGCCTTATCCTAGAAGTTTAGGTTTGGAGGAGAGAAAAGAAAATAATTTTCCCTCTACCCTTCTGAATTCTTGGCTAAGACCTCTGTAAGGAAAGGCAGAGCAACAAGAGAAAAACAAACAGAAGTTTATTAACATGTTTAACTCATGGCCACATAGGAGAGACCCAGGGATAAGTGACTAGCTCCCCAGGGTGACTTAGAATTCAGGTGAAATACAGCCTACTAGGGCAGCAGAGAGACATACCGGCCTCTGGTGGGAGAGTAAAGATTCTTAGGGGAGATGAATGGGCCCCTAGCAGAACAGATGGGCGGTATGATCCTCTGTGACAGGTGTGTCTTGGTGTAATGTCAATTTCTAGTCTCTTCTCCTGAGGTGAGTCAGGCTTCCCTGGTTGATGACACTCTTGGGGAGGGATCTGTGAGGATGAATTCCTTTTGGAAGATCTTAGGGCAGATAAGGGAGCTCAGAGAAAGCCTCTCCTGGCCTTTGCTGTTTCTTAAGTGCTTCCAGTTCAGAGAAATCAATATGCCCAACCAGCATTTAAAAAATATATATATTTTATTGATTTTTTTTTTTTTTTTTTTTTTTTCAGAGAGGAAGAGAGAGGGATAGAGTTAGAAACATCAATGAGAGAGAATCATGGATCAGATGCCTCTTGCACACCCCCTACTGGGGATGTGCCTGCAACCAAGGTACATGCCCTTGACTGAAATCAAACTGGGACCCTTCAGTCTGCAGGCTGGTGCTCTATCCACTGAGCCAAACCGGTTTCGGCCCAAGCAGCATATTTTGAAGGGGCTCGTCCTGAACTCCTACAGTCGTATTCTGGGTGGCATTCAGCTGCTCTTCAGGTTCCACAGGACACTGGGCAGAATCAACTACCCTTCCTGCTTGTCATTGCATCAGAGGCTTTGTCTCTGAAAAAAAAAAAAAAAAAAATGGAATTAACTAGGACTAGACGCTCAGGTTTTTTCTTACATTTCAGTAGTTGTTTTCTTGCAGATGATATTCCTAAAATTGATAGTTTCCATTTATTTTTAAATTGCCTGGCATGTAACCTTACATCTGTGCTAGAAGTTACAGCATATCTGATGTTTAAAAACACAGTTAATGTGATGCATACTTTTCGTATCTGTGTAAATTCATAGCAGTCCTTTAGCTGCCCCCTGTCCCCCCGAGAAGTGGGTTCACCCTCCTACTCTCAGTTCATTAGCTCCAAAGTAGGCACTTCATGAAAACCGGACCAAGGTCCTACCTTGGAGTTTTAGATTTAGGATAGTAGGGGGGAAAAAATCTCCCTCTAACCTCTGACTTCTTGGCTAAGACTCCTGTAACAGAAGACAGATTTATAAGAGGAAAATAAACAGAAGCTTATTAACATGCATGCCTCAAGTATGCATGGAGATAATCAGGGGGAAATGAGTAATTAGAACTCTGGCTGATGGGGCAATTTCAGCTGACACCATAAGAAAGTGTGGGGGAGGCCAGTCTTGGGGCGTGGTGAAAAGTTGTGCACATAAATTACTGCCTTTGTTAAGGGTCTAAAGTTGCCCCCAGGGATTAAATGTTGTCTTTCCTGGTAGAGAATGAAGGAGGGAGACCTTTGAAAATGTGTGTCTGCTTTTAGGCAAATAAGAGGAAGGCAGGGTGCTTTTGTTATATCTGCTTCTTTTCAATTGCATTCAGGCTCAACATAATCCTATGCTAACGTGGCATATTCTGCAGTGGCAAATTCTGCTACCCTTAGGGCTGAGAGTAGGAGAGTCAGTCTTCCTACGTTAAATTGGAAACCATGAGCAGCTATCCCTAAACCGTGGTCGGCAAACTGCGGCTCACGAGCCACATGCATCTTTTTGGCCCCTTGAGTGTGGCTCTTCCACAAATACCACGGCCTGGGCGAGTCTATTTTGAAGAAGTGGCATTAGAAGAAGTTTAAGTTAAAAATTTTTGACTCTCCAAAGAAATTTCAATCATTGTACTGTTGATATTTGGCTCTGTTGACTAATGAGTTTGCTGACCACTGCCCTAGACTATCACAGGGACTTGGGAACAGAGGAAATCCAGTTCACCAAGAAAGAAAAAGGCAGATATGACATGATAGCCAATGTGAGTGTGAAAGCATGTGTCTCAGATTTCCAACATTTTGGTTTCTTGTCTAGTATTCTTGAGTCTTAGCGACATTTTCTGCCCCCAGAGACTTATAATAAATCCTCTGCTTTTGCTAGAGCACCCTTGAGTTGGTTTCTCTTCTTTGAAACCAAAAGAATCTTAGCATAGACGTTATATGGAAGCGAGTCTGCACGTTACAGATCATCAAAGGAAATGGTTATGTCATAGCAGATGAGGTGAGAAGTGGGTAGTCCTGGTAACAAAGAACATACATATGTTAGAGTATGTTTTTGCAGCCTTTCAAGGAAATGCAATATGATCAAGAAAGAGAGAAGCTTCAGGCCGAGGTTGCCCAGCCAAAAACAGGCAGAAAAGGAGAGTAAGAATACAATTATGGCCCTGGCCTGGTGGCTCAGATGGTTGGAACATTGTCCCATACACCAATTCCATTCCTGGTCAGGGCACATACTTAAGTTGCTGGTTCAACTCCTAGTATAGGCGGCGACATATCAATGTTTCTTTCTCATGTTGATGTTTCTTGCTTTCTCTCTCTCAAATTAATAAGAGTGTATCCTCAGGTGAGAATTAAAAAATTTTTTAAAAAAATATATATAGTTATGTTCCAGAAGCTTTTCTTACTATAGCGAGTGTCTACCTGAAACTGTTCAAAGTTATAGACACCTGAGACTGCTCAAAGTTAGTCAAAGAGGCAAGTAAAAGACACAAATAAATACAACCAGATTCCATACTGTAGCCGTTTTTGAAATGAAAATTGGTGTTTATTGAGAAAAAATGTATCATTTCAGTGATTAGAATGGGAGATATCTGAGAGAAATCAGAGATGCTAAGAACTTCAACTCTAGAACTTCAGCTTTAACACCCCAAACCCCTCCCTCTTTTGTCTCACCAGATAAATGTGATGAGGCCTGCCCCATTCAAGCAGTTCGGCTCAAATCTACTGGAGGCACAAATAACATTTCATGATACATTAAGGGGGAAAGTGCCATCAGAAGCTAAAGAAAATATTTCCAATTCCTAAAACATAGGGCTTATACTTAAGTTATATAAGGAATTTTTATAAATCAGCTTGCAAATGATAAGTACTACAATTTTAAAAAAGCATGCATGGAAAACAATTTATAATAGAAGAAATAGAAATAGATAATAAATATATAAAAAATAGTTCCATTTCAAGAATAATCAAAGTAACGACTATAACATAGGATACTATATTTAGCTCATCAAGTTGGAGTAAATTTTTAAAAAAACTTTCATTCTTTTTTTTTTTTAAGTGATTTATAGAGAAATTCATTTTCTTTACTTCTGATCTAAACACATATATACATTGGGATATATATGTATATGTGTGTGTTTAAAAGTCATGCAGACAAGTACTCTTTTTGTTCAAATTATTTTTGTTGCTACTTCATAACTGTAATTTTGCTACTGTTATGAATCGTAATGTAAATATCTGTATTTTTCCGATGGTCTTAGGCGACCTTGCTAGCAGTTCTCAACCTGTGGGTTATGACCCACAGGTTGAGAACCGCTGCTGTAGAGCCTAAGAGCATCGAAAAATACATATTTTTACACTATGATTCATAACACTAGCAAAATTATAGTTATGAAGTAGCAACAAAAATAATTTTATAGTTGGGGGTCACCACAACATGAAGAACTATATTAAAGGGTCACAGCATTAGAAAGGTTGAGAACCACTGACTTAGGGGCTATCAGGCAGGCAGGCAGAGTGATTAGGGGTGACCAGGCAGGCAGGTAAAGTGGTTAGGAGCCAGTGGTCTGGATTGCAAGAGGGATGTCTGACTGCCGGTTTGCAAGAGGGTGCAGGCTGGGCTGAGGGGACTACCCCCTTCGGTGCACAAATTTCATTATTAGTCCTATCTAATAAAGAGGGAATATGCTAATTGACCCTCACACCATCACAAAGATGTCGGTGCCCACAGCTAATAAGGAGGGAATATGCTAATTGACTGTCCTGCTCTCAAAGATGGCAATCCCCACAGCCAATAAGGAGGGAATATGCTAATTGACTGCCACACCCTCAAAGATGGCGGTGCCCACAGCCACAAGTTGGTGGTGCCTAGTCCCCTCAGCCCCCCAGCCACCCATGGCCGGCCCAAGGCATAGGCAAGCCTCGGATGGCAGCTGCCCAGCTGATGCCCGAGGTGCAGGTAAGCCTTGAATGGTGGATTCCCAGCTTCCCAGGGCCACTGGAGGCTCAGGTAACCAGGGTCAGCTGAGGCTTGCACTGCTGGCAGTGGCAGCAACAGAGGTGTAATGGGGTGTTGCCTCCCACCCCTGAGGGCTCCGGGACTGTAAGAGGGGGCAGGCTGAGCTGAGGGACTCCCTGTCCAGTGCATGAATTTTCATGCACAGGGCCTCTAGTTTAATAATAAGCAGGAAAATCCTAAAGAAATGTTTACCATGGTAATTGTTCCAAAGAAATACAGATCCATACAGAAGGATATTTGGTGAGGGAAAATGACTTCCACCATAATTTTCTTTAGCTTCCGATGTAAATAGGTACAAACATTGGGATATGTATGTATATGTGTGTGTTTAAATGTACACTCATAGAAAAGAACCTAAAAATACAAGCATCAAATTGTCAGTAGTTTTTATCACTGCTTACTGGAATTACAGGGGTTTTTTTCTTGTTTTCCAGATTTTTCTATCATAGGTGTCATCTTTATCATTAGAATAAATCATATTTCAATAGAAAGTCATTCAGACAAGTACTCTTTTTTGTGATTGTTCAAGCAATCACAAAAAGCACTTGTTATATTTAATGTTGTATTTCAATTTCTGATTTGTTTGAGGGCAAGGATGTTCAAAAGGAAATCCCATCTTTCCTGGCTTATCAGTCTAAGTTTCCTTCTTGGCCTTAGACACAGCCCTTATCCAACATGTGCAAGTTTCTCTATGTGAATTGCATGAGACTCATAAAACTGGAGACTTGTAAATACATTCCAACAATGTTGAGAATATGGTTGCCTAGTATTACAATATAAAACATTTCCAGAACTCTGGCTTCTAGAGGCAAAAATATTCGAAACAGATGAATTTCTGAAAATGCTCTCTTTACTTAACTTTAACCTTGCTACAGGGAGTTTTCGGCCCCATCCCCCATTTGTAACAACAGATCTCTCTAATCCCACCTCTTTGTTCCACTGAGCTGATGTGGGAAAAGTAGGAAAATACATAAAGGCAGCAAGGTCAATGGCAGGTAAGGAGACACAGAATCCCAAAGGAGAATTCCCAGAGAAAGAATCTGGATTAGTGACCCATATCATCCTCTAGTCTGCCTTCTCCTGGCATTTGAATGGAGGCTGGTGCTTAATGTTCTGTTCACATTAACACAAGTATGCTATCAGAAGACCTCACGTGTGGGAATTGAAGGCACTGTGAGAGGCCAATGGGGTCTCTCACATTAGTCATCTAAGATAGGTGAGCTCTTATTTAGAAGTTTCATGACCAAGGGGTACTAAAAACCACTTTGCAGGGTGACCTCTCTACCATACCTCACATGGTGGCTATGGGCACATTGCATAGCCATCACGATTCTCTGTTCCATCAACCATATAAGGAAGGAGATTAATTATATCTGAAGCTTATTTTGGAGTTCAGCCATGGGCATCAGAGGGTTCAAGAAACAAAATTATATACATTTTTGTAGAGGGAAGATCCATAGCTTTCATCAGGTTCTTAATTCACAAATTCAAGGAAATGATGACCCCCTGAATTATATAATGTTTAAATATCAGTCAACATTAATATTCTTTGATTCTCCACTTATGCATATTTTGGGTAGTGTTTTTTACCTTATTAAATACTTTATTTTATACCATGTTAAGTTTACTCAAACTTCAAATTGTTGAGGTCAAAACTCCAGGTGAAGTCATTATTATTATTTTCTTTCTCATTTATAAGGAGTTTTGCTACAGCAAGGATTTGTGTATATAAATATGCACAAGAGCTACAAAATGCAGAAAACTTATTAAAGTAGTTAGTAAAGAATCTAGTGCAGCGATTCTTAACCTTTTCCATCTCATGGCACATGTAAACTAATTACTAAAATTATTCGGCACACCAAAAAATATATTTTTGTCCATCTGACAAAACATAGGTATAGTTTTGATTGATTCACACCAGATGGCTATTGTTGTGTTGACTGTTGTCATTTTTTTTATTTGATAATCTAAAGGAAAAGAGGTCAGTGCCCCTGACTAAATAATCACGAATTGTATGTTTTAAAATTCTTGTAGCACACTAGTGTGCCTGCCACGCACACTGGTTGAAAACCGCTGATCTAGGATATGTGATGTCAATGATGAAAATCTTACCTTTATGTGAAATTTGAAACAATTTACTAGTTTAGTTGATCTAATTAAAATATCTTAAAATGAACATATATTAATATTGATTTTACACAGTGTTATCATTACGTGATCCTGATACTGACTTTGTTTTTAAAGAGTAGGTAGAAAAGAAGTTGGGAGAAGTCACAGAACTAGTATATTTCCAAGACCCCAACTCCATCTACAATAATAAAAGCATAATATGCTAATTAGACCAGACAGCCGCATGACCTTTGGACATCATTTTGGACATCCTTCCAGGTGAAGCCTCCATGGTGGGGGCCAAGGCAGAGGCGGTTAAGGGCGATCAGGCAGGGAGGCTAGCAGTTAGTGGTGATTTAGACAGGCAGAGTGGTTATGGGCGATGAGGCAGGCAGGCTAGAGGTTAGGGGAGATCAAGGAGGTAGGCAGGTGAGCAGTTAGGAGCCAGCGGTCCCAGATTGCTGAGGGACCCCACCCCTGCCCCCGTGTGAATTTTGTGCACCAGGTTTCTAGTAAAAATATAATTAACTGTAATAAATTCAAATTCTTCAAATTTTCATTTTCTGTTTGACATCCATAATCAAATTGTTTGTTCACATCAGTCTTCGTGAAATTTGCCTACTCTTTCAAGAGACTGCATTAGAAGTGACTTAATGATGACACACAGCATCTGCCTGCTCCAAAAGCTGACTTCAGGTGTATTGGGAAATTCTGTCTGGGAATGAATCCTAGCAGTGTCTGCCAGGGGCACTGAATCAACACGCCAGAACACAGTCCTCTTTCCCGATCAGTCAAGATGGGCACCTGGAACCCACCTCGTGGTCCTGGGCACCACATCCTCTACACGAAGGACAGCCCCATACCTGTGAGGAACAGTTTGCTGTTATTTTTAAAGTATTTAACTTTGGATTGTTGGAGCTCCGTAAAGGTCTTAAAAGGGGTTTAAATTCTGTCATTTGATTCTTAGATTTCTCATCTCTTTGCATTTTGACAAATACCACTACCACATATTTTATGTGCAGCTTTGCCTCCAAAGAATTAAGTGGATTTTCAAACAAAGACTGAAATAAAATAGTTAAAAAGAAGTATGGGACAATTGGATAAATAAAATGTGGTATATACATACAATGAAATATTTGGCCTTAAAAAGAAATGAAGTTCTGATAGATGCTATACCATGGATAAATCTTGAAGAATAAGCCAGTTGCAAAAAAAAACCAAAAAAAACCGAGACCGGTTTGTCTCAATGGATAGAGCGTCGGCTTGGGGACTGAAGGGTCCCGGGTTCGATTCCGGTCAAGGGCATGTACCTTGGTTGCGGGCATATCCCCAGTAGGGGGTGTGCAAGAGGTAGCTGATTGATGACTCTCTCTCATCGATGTTTCTAACTCTCTATCTCTCTCCCTTCCTCTCTGTACAAAATCAATAAAATATATTAAAAAAAAGAAAGAAAAAAAGAGCTATTACATGATTCAGTTTACATAAGGTACCTGGAGTAGCCAGATTCATAGAGACAGAACATCGAATGGTGCTTGTCATACTTACTCTGAAGGAAAAGGGGAGGAATTAAGAGTTGCTTAATGGGTATGAAGTTTTAGTTTGGGAAGATGAAGAAATTCCGGAGGTGAATGATGTGATAATTGTACAACAATGTAAATGTACTAATGCCACTGAACTGCACACTTAAGAATGGTTAAAATGGTAAATTTTATGTTGTGTATATTTTTACCACAATTTTTAAAAATCTGCTTTGTTAAATAAGTTATGAAACTATAAAGAAATTTGAACACTGACTGGATAAAGAAAGTATTGTTCTTTATTTTAAGACTACCTTTATCTTTTTAGAGATACATAATGAAGTAGTTATAAACAAAATTATATGTCTATTAGTTGGGAATAGATGAAACAATTTTGGCTGTATGTTGATTAAATTTAAAAAGAGAAAGGAAAAAATAAAAGCAAAGCTATAAGCATATATTGCTGTTAACCTGTTAAATGAAATAAAAATATAGATTGTGGGTGTTCTTTTTTTTTTAAATTAAAATGCATTATCCATTACATTATTATTAATAGTTTTTGGTTTGCCTGAAATATTCAATATTTTTAAATCATTTTTTATTATCTATCTATATATATAAGAGCCTAAGTGACCATTCAGTTGTTGACCAGTAGCTATAACATGCACTGACCACCAAGGGGCAGACACTCCAAACAGTAGGTTAGCTTGCTGCTGGGGTCCAGCCAATTGGGACTGGGTGAGACGAGCTAGACATGCCCTGGAGATCTCCTGAGGTCCCTCCCCAGTGGCCAACCTTCTTTTGTCCTTCTCCAACCCCAATTATGCACCAATGGGGTTCCAGATTACGAGAGGGTGCAGGCCAGGTTAAGGGACCCCAACAGTGCATGAATCCGTGCACTGGGCCTCTAGTTTGGATTATAAACATCTCAATGTCTCCTTGTTCAGTACAATAGTTTGTAAGATGTAAAATTATAGAAAGCATTCACTATGTTCTCTTGAATGAATGATCTTTCAGCTTAATAATTCTAGTGTCTTATTTGAGATCATAAAGAAAATATAAACTATGCCTTTGGAGTCTCATGCAGGGTCATTTTTTTAGGAGTCACTTTTTTCTTACTATGCAACTTTGCTGGATTAAAAAATAAATTACATAGCATTATCATATAATCTTCCCTGATACTAACACAAATTTAACACTAATTTAATTTAGTTTCCTCATCCAAACTGTTTGATGTTGTCTGTTTCCCATACAAGATTGTAACTTCATAACGACAAGGAATTTGTTCTCACCACTACACATTGACACATGGCAGATCACAATTGAATATTTGTTGAATCCATGAATAGAGTTTCAAAGAGTTGAAAATGAACCTAATGGCTAAAGAGAGTTAAACGTTTAGCTAGAACAATGAACTCAGTCATATCGTCAGCAACCTCTATGGGAACTTTCATGGAATTTCATTACATGCATATTTCATCTTCAAAGAACATTATAAGTAAAATTTTAATACCTCCTTGAAACAGATACCTATAGTCCATTTTTCAGATGGGAAATCTAAAGCACCAAAAATCTAAATCCTTAAAGAATAATGCATGAATCCATGTCAGAGTTAGATTGAGAAACTATTTTAAATATTTGGTCTTGAACGATTGACTCCCCAAAGTCATTTATCCATATCTTGTGCTTGTTACAACTCATGTAAAAGAATTTACTCTTCCTGAATTTGGAAGTCTCAGGTAAGAAATCAGTTTGTTGTGACAGCAGGTGACTCAGATACTGGAAATGTTTTCTCAAGAACTTGTTCCTCAATCTGTATCCGGTAATTCACAAAGCAAGTTGCTCTCTTAGCAGAAATATATGGTGTATAACTAATTTACCAATGAGTTTCCTTAATACTTGTCCCTCATTTAGTTCTTAAATGGATTAAACCACCCCAAATCTATTGCAAACCCGGAGGGAAACCTTGTATGTCAGGTCTATAAAATTAAAATTTAAAAGTCTAATTTTACTGATGTTTCTTCAAACATTACCAGAAATGATATGACCCCAAAACCTACCAAGCCAGAAGGACACACAACCTCATTTTTTTTTTAATTTTATTTATTTATTTATTTTATTTTATTGAAAAGTCTCTTATGTTGGGACAGTGGTTCTCTAATTCGGCTGCATTTTGGAACCACTTGGAAACTTTACAAGTACTGATACCTGGATTCCACCCCTGAGATACTGATTTATTTGATCTGCGGTGTAGTCTGGGTTTTGTGACTTTTAGAAGAAGCTTCTAAAGTTCAGCCACGATGGAAGAGCCTCTTCAGACATGACCTGGGAATGGAATGCAGGAAGAAGGCCAAGCCAGAGGACCGTGGACACAATGGTTTCTAGATTTCTCTTTAAATCCAGATATTTTAAACTATTTTAATACTGTAGTTTTAATATCTTATTGTATCTTCACCCTGGGGTCATTTCTTAGAAGGCTCTAGTTTCACATATCTCAGATTTAAGTCAAATTGGATAAGGTGAAAAAGATGTCAAGGTGACAACAACTGGGATAAAGTGTGAGAAACACCGCTTAAAATGTAAGTAACAGGCTATAAAACGGTCAGATACAATGATTATTAATAAAAATTTTGACATGCTACATAAGCCATACAAGACCAAAGTGGTCATTTGTGTGATATGAACTGCCCCCAAAATAATTCTTTGTTAACAAACAAAAGTTACTCAAAATGTGTCCATTTTTATTTTGGAGGCGTTGTCCTTTCCTCACCACCACTTTCACTCGCAGGAAAATGAATTTGGTTTTTCATGCCTGAACATTCTAATGCCTACAGTTTAAAGTAAAATAACCCTGTTGCATCACCCTAGTTACTACATTTAACAATCCCAATCCCTTCAGAACAAAACATTATGAGAGTTACTCCCAGGCCTGGTTTTCATTTGTCTTCCATCAACTTCTTACACTTAGTACTTCCTTGGTTGGCTGGCTTGCTTAATTGTGAATGGTAACTAAGGCGACAGAGAAAAACAGATCCAAATGAGGAAAAAGAAATGCTTTTCTACAAAATCAGCAAGAGAAAAGACGTGAACTCAGCTCTTGGAAAGCAAGGACTAGACGCCCTGCCTCGATCAGTGTCTCTTCCTTGGCATCTTGTTGGTTGCTTCCAGAACCCAGTTCTCCCAGAGGCCCCCTCCCTTCCCGGGCTTGGGTTTATAGTCATTTGATTACTTAAGCTCTTGGAAAGAGTTCTTCTCCCTGCTTTGCTCCAGGCTGTTGGGCTTGCTTAGGGGTAGGTTTTCTGAAGCAAGAGGCTAGTGTCATCATTTAGCAGTCCTGTTAAAAACCCCCTTAATTCCTCCTGTTTAGTCTGGCTCACTGGGTGTTGCCCATAAAAACAGTTTGGCTTTTGTAATCACAATTAGAGTAGGGTGGTGTGACTAATCAGTCAGTTCACGGCATCTCTGTTATCTTCTGTGAAGTGAGTCAGTTTCAGCATTCACTGGTGCTCGTGTGTCACTCCCTACTTTCTGATGTGCAAGTCCATATTTGTCCAAATGCTAGATTTCTTTTTTTTTTAAAGGCTGTTTGTTTTCTTTCTAAAAACATGTTCTGTGCTCCCTCTCAGGAGTGAAACTAACTCCACAGGAATTTGGAAGAATTCCCATAATAGGAGTTCTTATACAGAAATTCCCAGGGCAGAGAGGCCGTTTTGTTCTCTTAGTTTGGGAAATTGTAACAATAATACAATCAGTTCAGGCCAATACACATGTACTGAATATTTGCCAAGTGCCAAGTACTTTTCATATAGCATTTTTTAAAAATAAGGTTTATTTTAGAGCCATTCTAGATTTACAGAAAAATTATAAAGATAATAGAGTTCCCATGATATATCCCATACTCAGTCTCCCCTATTATTAGCATTTTACATTAGCCTGTTAGTTACAATCAATGTAATGACACAATAATGTATTGATGTTGATATATTATTATTAACTAACATCCATATCATTCATATTTCCTTAGTTTTTACCGAATGTCCTTTTTCTATCCCAAGATACCATCCTGGATACATTACAACAATCATGTCTCCCAAGGGTCTGCTGGACTGTGACAGGTTCTCAGACTTTCATTTCAATGAACTTGACAGTTTTGAGGAGCACTCATCAGGTATTTTGTAGAAAGTCCCTTAATTAGGATTTGATTAATGTTTTTGTCATTAGACTGGAGTTAAATGTTCTTGAGAGGAAGACCACAGAGGAAGTACACCATTTTCATCACATCATGTCAAAGGGTATGATATATGTATACACTCAACATGACTTAGCATTGTTGATGCTAGCCTTGATCATACGGCTGAGGCAATAAGTGTCAGATTTCTCTCCTGTCATTTATTTTACAGCTAGAGATCCGGTGCACAAAATTTGTGCTCCGGGGAGGGAAGTGGGAGAAGATTCCTCAGCCCGGCCTGCGCCCTCTCACAGACCAGGAGCCCTTGGGGGATTTCTGGCTGATGGCTCCAGGGATGTCCGACTAACAGCTTAGGCCTAAGCCTATAGTTAGCCATCCTTAGAGGCTCCTGCCACCACCACTGTGCTCGCCAGCTGTGAGCCCAGCTTCTGGCTAAGTGGCACTCTCCCTGTGGGAGCACACTGACCACCAGAAGGCAGCTCCTGCATTGAGTGTCTGCCCCCTGGTGGTCAGTGCTTATCATAGTGACCAGTTGTTCTGCCATTGGGTCTATTTGCATATTAGCCTTTTATTATATAGGATGACTGCCCTCTTTTCCCCTCCTCATCTTTAGAAGGAAGTCACATGTAAGGAGTAGGGTCACCTACTTGAGGGCTGATATTTACATAGATTGTTTGAAGTTCTTACCTGTTCAGTCATTTATATCAGTATAAGTTTAAGCATTTTAAAAACATACTTTTTCTTATAGAGTAATCCAATAAATTCTTCTTTGTTTTCTTGCTAGATTTTCCAGCTTTGGTCACTGGAAACTTTTTAAAAAAATATTTTGTTGATTTTTTACAGAAAGGAAGGGAGAGGAACAGAGTTAGAAACACCAATGAGAGAGAAACATCAATCAGCTGCCTTTTGTACACTCACTACTGGGGATGTGCCCACAACAATGGTATATGCCCTTGACCAGAATCAAACCTGGGACCCTTCAGTCCACAGGCAGATGCTCTTTCCACTGAATCAAATTGGTTAAGGCTGGAAACTCTTTTTGTTGGTTCTTGGTCCCTTTGACATACTCTTTTGTTGTGGATTTATTTATTTTTTTAGCACTTTCTTAATTTGTGGGTTTATATTGTAAAATGCTCCAGCCTTATTTTGCATTTTTCTTGCCCAAGGCTTAGAAATCGGTCATTTTTCTAAGAAACCCTGGTTCCTTTTATTGGAGAGTTGTATTAGAGATCAAGATCTGGGTAATAGATATGTCCCTTGTTATTGTGGTGCTTTTGCTTCTCAGCTGAAAAGGAAAGGAACTAACTCAGGTAATTACATATGTACATAAACGTTTTTATATATAACCATTGGTATCTATATTAAGCACAGCATGAGTTCCTACAGATGTCTCCAACTCTAATCCATTACCACATGGATCACTCTAACCACTTTCCCTTGCTCCAGCAGTGAGAAACCTGGCTCCCACGACCCACCATTCATTGATTTGATTGTTCAATTCCAGAACACATGGATAGCAGTTGTTAATCTGACCCAGTGGGAGGCCATTTATCAACTAGAGTAGCTTTCCAGGGAGTCTGGGAGATAGTATTCTGGATGACCCTGAGCCTGTGTCAATCAATAATTTTGTTACCAAGGAAGAAGGAAAGGATCAACTAGGGAAGATAATGGTCTTCACCATAGAATGCACTGGAGTGGCAGGTCAGGGAAGGGGAAAACAGTGATCTGATTTTGAATTTTACCTGTGAGTTTCTATGAAAAAGTCAGTTATTTTCTTCTGCAAATGGCAGCCTTTTGACACAAAGCTCATTTCCTTCCTCTGCCACAGCACAAGCTCCATCTTGCTTCAGCCTCTACAGCCATCAGCTGTCACCAGCAGAAGTAAGGGGAGAAACCCATTGAGTACATTGTAAACTCAGGTGAGAGGGCAGGGTAATGAGGTGGTGGTGAGGGATGGATGGGTGGGGTATCAAGTAGTTGTTGGGCAGAGATTGCAAATAGGTGCTGTCTGAGCCAAGCTATTAATATTTATATAACAAGGGGGAAGAAATGTGGGTGATGGGATCGGCTTGGATAGTGGACCATTAGTGATGCCCTATCCACCACTTTGATAAGTCTCTGCCCTTTATTGATCTACTAGAGGCCTGGTGCATGAATTTGTGCAGCGGTGGGGTCCTTAAGCCTCGCCTGCTCCCTCTCGCAATCCAGGACCCCTCCGGGCTGAAACTGGCAGTCTGGTGACCCTGGAGGGATGTATAGTGGGGCCCAGTGCCACGCAGCTCCCGCTCATCCAGCCCAGCTGCGCCTGCTGCCTGGCCAGTGCTCGATAGCCCACTGCCATGGAGGCGGGAGAGACTCGTGCCACAGGAGAGGCTCACGCTGCTGTAGCTGCCCCCATCAGCCCTAAGCCTGGCATCTGGCACTCCAGCTGTGGGAGCGCACTGACCACCAGGGGGCAGCTCTTGTGTTGAGCATCTGCCCCCTGGTGGTCAGTGCATGTCATAGCGACCAGTTGTTTGGTTGTTTGGTCACTTAGGCATATATATCAAATCAGTTGTCAATGTGCTATTTTCATCCCATGGAGTTGACAATCTTAGATCCACTCTTTAAACTTGACCTGATATCTAGGAAGTGTTGTGCCAATACATGGGGAAGAGCAAGTGATCCCACACAAGAAATCTAAAATTCTTCCTATAAAGTGAGAAGACTCAGAGGTTAAGATTCCTTGAAAAAAGAAAATAGTGATGTAGAAGGAAAGAGGGCTTTGTAGATCCATTTGTCTGGGTTTGAATCCTAGCTCTGCAATTTAACAGCTTGCAACCCTAAACAAATTATTTGCTGTTGTTTCTATTAAATATATATTAACATACTAAATTATTAAATACTAGAGGCTCAGTGCACAAAATTTGCACAGCACGAGTTCCTACAGATGTCTCTGGGGGTTAGGGGGGTGTCCTTCAGACTGGCCTGCACCCTCTTGCAATCCAGGACCCCTCAGGAGATGTCAGGCCTAAACCAGCAGTTGAACATCCCTCTCGCTGGCTCCTAATGGCTGACCTGCCTACCTGATCACCCCTAACTGCCTCTGCCTGGGCCCTGCTGCAGAGGCTTCGTCCGGAAGGATTTCCGGAATGACATCCAGAAGGTTGTTCGGCTGTCCAGTCTAATAAGCATACTACACTTTTATTATTATACATAATTTATTAAAGCAATATCACAATGATACAGTTTATTGATGTTTTAAACCAATGATCAGCAAACTCATTAGTCAACAGAGCAGCAAATCGCGGCTCGCAAGCCACAGTTTGCCAACCACTGCTTTAAACAATATGTGACAAAACCCATAGAATTTTGTAGCACAAAAAAGTGAGTCTAATGTGTGCAAATTTAGAAATCATTTAGGAGGGCGAGGGATCCCAGAATGTGACCAAAGGATGTGAATTATAAATGCATGAAACAGCCTCACTGGGGATAGTGTTGACCTAAACTGGAACGGAGTGGAGTCTGTCAGACTGCAGGCAGAAGAAACTGCACAGAGACACTGGTCTCGCTGGAAGGGAGACGGGATACTTCCAGGAGGGTGTGTGCTTCTCACTCTCCTCCTTCCTGCTGGCAGATAGGCTGCTCTGTGTGGGTGGAGCACTGGTCTTGGACAAGGTGGGACACAAGGTTTGAAGAAGATAGAAAAAGAAAACATCTGCCTGTCTTCTTATGATTGTGATGCCACTATACCAGTTGAATTTGCATGAAAAGAAAAAGAAACTACTGCTTTAACCACTCTTTAAAAAATATATATATTTTTATTGATTTCAGAGTGAGAAAGAGAGAGATAGAAACATCTATGATAAGAGAGAATCATCAATTGGCTGCCTCCTGCACACCTCCTACTAGGAATCAACCCTGCTACCCAGAAATGTGCCCTGTTGGGAATTGAACCTTGATGTCCTTGTTCATAGGTCAGTGTTCAACCACTGAGCAACACTGGTCGGGCTTACCTCCCTCTTATTTTGACTTTCCCGTTACGAATGAATCTAATCCCAACTAATAAAGATTTCACTTGTATATTTTCCTCGTTGCCTTTTACCCCTCCACCAATTCTTCAATTCCCCGCCTCCCCCAAATGAGGTTACTTAACTTTCTTAAGCAACTAATTCTAGCCAATGAGAGATATGCAAATAAAATAAAAATAAATAAATAAATAAATAAATAAATAAATAAATAAATAAATAGTGGGCTTTGTTCCTAAAACAATTATGCCTTTTCATGGAATAGTAATAATTGTTCAATATCATAATTTGTATCCTCACAAAAAGGGTTATTTAACTGAGCTAAGCAGTATAAATATAGCTTTTATTTCCTTTATACCTAAAGTACACACTTACTAAATTTTGGGAGAAATGCCAGAAAGTACAATCTTTAAAAATGTAAAGCAACCCAAAATAAGAACACTAACATGTTGGCTTGTGAAGTAAATTCCATTGACCTAAAACAATGGAAATGTTAAGAAAGTAGTTATTCATGAGTGGCATGTTGCTTTTCTTTGAAGTATTTCCATAAGTGGGCACCCATAGTCTAAGCTATCTCTCTCTCCCTTCCCCACCCCCCCGATTGTTGAAGTTAAATTGAATTTAGAAATTACAAGTCACTTCATGGAATGATAGAAGAGAAAAGGAAGATGGCAGTTAATAGCCACTAGGTGTCCGTTTCAAAATGGTTACCTAGCAACAGTTCCAGCCCATAGCTACCAGGAGTAGTGCCAGGGGCTTACAGTTAAAAAGCTTGCTTGAGCTACAAACTTGCTTGTCTGACATCTCATCTGCATGGTTCTCAAAATTAGAATCATCTTTGGTGTCGTGTGGGCTGCTGCACAATTAACCATCTGTTTTATCTGGGTAATTCTTGAAACAAGAATGTGCTCACCGTGTTTATAGAAAACCACTCAGGTTGTGGAACACACACACACACACACACACACACAC